CCTCTTTCCCCAAAGCTAACCTTTGCAGGTCTGCATTTGATAGCGGCAGTTGTGCAATAGAAGGGCCACTCTCGTCGTCCTGCTCGAAGAGTTGGGTATAGTGGTATCGTGACAAGTCATAGAATGCAGAAGGCAGGAGGCTTGGCGCATTGACTTCTCGTGCGAGGATAATAACGTCCTGAATGCGAATGAGCCATGTCGTATCAAATGTCAAGAGAAGCAGCCTACTGCAGGGGAAGGGTATATATTGGACATTCCAGGACCACTTTGCATTTCATCAGCACGAGTAACGTCCTCTCTAGCATCCCATCCCTTGAGTGAAGTCGGCCAAGCCTTGCTTAAATGAACAAGAGCTTTGGTTCTCAACGAATCGACAAGGTACTTGGTCGCAAGTCGAAGTATTCCCGAAACCATGCGAAAATCGGTAGGGTCATTCTTCCCAAAGTTTCTGTAAAAAATTCGTCACATGAAAACGCAGCGCACTATATGAGACCTACGGGCCATCATAAAGTGCCGTGAGGAGATTCTCAACGTCCTCTGCCGTGTCGTGCAGTCGCAGAACAGGACACCCTTCTACTTCATTGGTCGTATCTATTTGTAGTGCAGGGTCGTTGTTGACAACCACGGTCGGAGAAGAGGATGTATTATCCGCACTGGGTTGTGGCAATGAGAAGAGATCGCGGAAGAACGCCGAGTGGCGAGCAAGTTGAGACTTGTGCACACGAAATAAGGTGTCTTCTGCTCTCAAAATGATCTATTAAAGCCCGATTGTGGCCTCAGTCTGCGCTCGATCACAGGCAGTCATTATACGCACCGAACCATCACAAAACCACAAATCTGTGTGTTTTGAAGCTTCAGCAAGTGCATTATCTCCTGCAGAGGCTGCAATTTGCGAGTTCCTGTCCACAGAGGATCTTGGTGTATGGGTCAACCTGCGCAATAATCCATTAGGCGGAGGACTTCTAGGTGGGTAATGCCCGTTCGCGGAGATCATAATTGGGGTTGGGTAGTAGCTCGTTTGCATTATCGATCAAGTTGATGATGATACAAGACAACGCCCCGACGGCACTAGGTAGGCCTTATCTTGTACCGTGTACTGCCTGTTAATCACTCGCAGGTAACTGCATGCTGAGGGCAGCTTGAAGGGCGTGGAAGCATTGCCGCAAGCTTTAGCTTGGCTACCTGGCAGAAGCGGCATGGCATGATGGGGATAACGTGTTCTTACACACAAGGAGACCCCTGGACACCCCTTCTTTCCAGCATCGGGAAACACCAATTCCCTGTTCGGTTCGGAAACGACCGAAAAACAGTAAGCGGAGGTTCAGGGTCTCGATGTGCGAGACTTGAAGCTTGAGGTCTTCGGCTTCCCCACTAGCCCTCCCCAATCGTCAACTACCCTCTCGGTGGGTCGTGGTTACTCGACGCAGCTGGTCGGTCATCGTTTCGCGGTTGCAGTCGTGCGACAGGACCTGTACTCCCACTAGGTATATCATAGGCACAATATTATTATCCTAAACAGAACGAAAAGGTCGGCGGGTTGGGGTAGTGCGCAGTAGCCCCCTGACAAGAACTTTCGCTGGTTCGAAACCGCTGGCGTCCCCGCCATCCTAGCCAGCAGACTCTTAACCTAGGAGACGCTGACTGCAGCGGGAGCTAAGAACGTGGTCTGCCTCGCAACGCTCTGACTAGGGCTTCGCTTATCCAAGCCAGCCGCTATCGAATGTATTGAAAAGTTGAACTTATTGAGGAAGCGACGATGCAGCGCGGGGGAAGTCAAGTGGGTATTTCATCTTCAGAATGAGTTCAGTTCGAGTAATACTGCAGAAGAACACAAACGGTAGTTTGAATATAACTTGATGACATACCAAGGCACAGATCATCTATCTATCCTACTCATGATCAGAGCATGGGCAATAATTGGGCCACCGCGACATTGAGAAGATTGGCACGGCATCTGATACTGTACCAGTGCCAAATTTCGTGGGGCGGGATGTCAAAAGATACGAAAATGATGAACTAGAGAATGGCCACTTGAAGGAGTAATCAGCACCAAACCCGTTTGGGCTGCCGTTGGAGTGATCGATGATCACCGCAGGGTTATGTCAGTAAGCAACATCTATGTTTAGAACGCACATATTACGAGCCCGCAAAACCTTGGGAGATGAAAAGGATCAGCAATCGAGTTGAGTCGTATGCAGCACCTGTGCACTAGGGAAAGCGTATGACACTATACACAGCAACTCATGTGCTGGTGACGGGAACGCATGAAAGGCCTATGATCGTGATGCAAGTCACCACCTCCCTGAGGTTACAGGGGTTCTAGTATAGTGTTCAATATCTTACTGCCATCATGAATTGAGTATCCAGACAAGGCGCGCAGGAAGAACTGATTCATGAGAATACAACCAATGTATGAAGATCCGCGAGGTGGGCTTTCTCGCATCTAATTTTAGCTGCAGTTAGATGGTGAAGAAGGGGGGCAGTTATCCCAGGGCTCCAGCGCATGTAATTGTAGTTTATGATCACTGGTACTTATTGAATCAAACAGATCTCATATCCTCTTTGCGATCCGGGACGGAGGCTGCTGGTGAATCGAGGGAGTGGAAAGAAGTGGGAGTCTCAGTGACCAAGCCAAAGGTAATAGTGGTGAGCTGTTGCGATGTGGAGACAGATGGAATTGGACCGCTATAGTCGCCATCTTCCGGATCGTCAGGTTGACGGTTAAGCACCCGGTATGCATAAGTCACAACCACCAGCAGGTTGCAAATTATCAGGGAAGATGATACCTAGACACAGGAATTTAAATTTTGAATGGATGAGATATAGGAACAACTCCACCTCTAAATTGACTGCAATCATCTCTATCCATATATCAACTAGAAAATTTGTGATAGCGTGAAACAGGGAGAACATGGTCATGATAACGCTGGATGAAAATATGGCGAGAATCATCCGCCGCTGTCGAGAGGGCAGGTTGACGTTCCAGAGCAGTCGGAAGGAAAAGACCACCAGAATAGTGTCGGCGACAAACTTGGCTGATTGAATAGTATGATGAGCATAGAATGGAGTAAAAGGTGGTACGAGGCCTACTTGCGAGTTGGTACGCTGCCATCGAATGCCCGACGTGGCAGGAAGGGCAAGGCAACTGGTACCACTCACTGTTCGATTCAATTTCCCGCACCTTTTGCGCCATTAGAACACCCTCCGTCAGGGAGAAGAGAATCGCGAGGCCCATAGACAAACGATAAAGATGCTGCGTGGACTGTGCAACCCGTGCGATGGCAAACAATATGCTCATGCGTGCAAACCTTCAAGTCTGTTTGTTTTCCTAGACCAAAGTGAGGAGGAACAGGATCTCACCAATTTATGCAGGTGGACATGAGCGTTGTCACCCAAAAAGAAACTACACATGTCGTTCCTCCTACATCAAGTCCATTCATACGAGCAACACAGCGAGATCAACGAATGATACGATACGCACGAGAGAATATATGAACCCAGGAACCAACCAGATACGCTATGCCACACGATCCAGCCGTAGCAGCCCACGCGTCCTCCCACCAAAATCTCCTTATGTGTAGTCGGAACGAGACACGAAAAATTGTGAGGGCGATAGCCATCCCCTGCACAACGCTCATCACCGCTAAGTTTGGGTAAGATAATATCTTGATAGTGTAGAAGTCTCAACGCTTCGGGCTATGTACCCACCCTTCATCTGTATCATCGAGGACGACAACACCATCTTTGCTGAGGATGATGATATTCTGAATCAAAAATTGCTAGCATCAAGCGCTAAGAGCGAGTCATACTAGTATAATTGCACCATTTGGAAGATTGTAATATCCAGGGAAATTCCTGCAGGGCCGAAGTTCTAGTTGATAAAAATATGACATAGGCGCTCATCGACCTTCTCATGCATTGATATGAGGGGTCATACTCCATGCCATGGATGGGTGCCACATCATTCCGCACGAATTTGCAATGAACGCGCCCAATGGACGGTGGGCCGTCGTTCTTCCAATGCAATTCAACCAGGTCAGCATTTTGTTAGTGTACAAGTCTTGAATACCTTGGACAGTGTGGCTGTCATACTAGTCAGGAACGATAGATAATATTAGAAGTATAAATTTACGTTACATCCGCTTCTGCTGCCACTCCTGCGAACTTTGTGGCGCATGACGCGGTCACGAGCGGACTCTCCGAGAGGGTGGTTGGTGGGGGAGTTCAGATGAGGGGCAAACATCATTGATATTATGATGTCATGGTGGGGGTCGAAGCGCGGAGGCGACTACAAACAAACGGGTGGAGCGCTGCGCGTACGGGGTGGGGCGACGTGGCAAGTATGACAGGAGGTAATCCATAAATTAAAGATGGTTCGGGAGCTTGGGGGCTACCCCTAGATTCTTGCTGCCATGGATTTACAGTCAGCCTTTAGAAAATGAAGCCCGGGTGTCAGTAGTTACAATCTGAATCATCGCCGCGCTTAGAGTACTAGTAGGGTCGGGTCAAGTTGTAGAGATGCTGTTTGTGGCTACGATGACGGGGCTTTGAATAAGGGTGGTGCATCTGGCAGCATACAGGTCCGATACTGCAATCCGAATCTGTGAATAGTATTGCCTACATAGTTGGTTCATGAAAGGAACGTGACTAGTACCAGGCGGCCTGATAGAGCAAGCAACAAGTTCCGTGATGCCATCACCATGATGTGGCAATCGTCCATCTTCTCTTAACAATAACCACAGTTCTGCGGATAACGGTCTTTGTTCCTCTGTGTAGCGACCGGTACGGTAAATAGTTGATGAAAGGGTGCACGTGGCAAACTCTTTGTTCTCGTTCCAGGTTTGGCAACACAAATTGACAAAATCAAATCTCCGGGGTAGTATAAAGCACATGATTTACTCTTCTAGCAACCGATTTTCGACGTTCAACGCCGATTCACAGTTGCTCTCTCCGTTCTCGTCTTCCTGGCTGTAGCGAGCTGTGCTTGCACCTTTCCATCGTTTGCGAGACTCTTTTTAACTTACTTCGTTCTATACTGATTCTCAGCTGTGCTGCTGTTAAAACCTGGACGGGTTTCTCCAACGAAAATTCTAACGCCTTTGGTTACGATGCAATTCACTACTCTCGTTTTATTTGCTCTTGCCACTGCTGCCTCTGTGCACGGTGCTCCAGTCCATAAGCGCATTGCGCAGGTTATCGCTGACTCAACTACCAAGTGGGAGGCAGCATGCGTAAGTTCCTGCAGATGGCCCGGTCCGTCGTATCTCATAATGTCGTTCCAGGATGCCGCTGGTGGAGGTACCCAATGCAACCAAGTTGCTGTCGCGTCCTTCGGCACTCTTCTTGCTGCTCCAGGTCCATGCGAGCAGCAGGATGCCGCTGACAACATGATTGACCTCGCAAAGACTCTCAGTAACAATGCAGACATGATTACACTTGCTCAGATCTTTGCCCAGCAGCCCCGAAACTCTGTTCGTATTTTTCCAAGCCCATTTTTTCGCCACTTACAGAATTCTGTGCACACAGCCTACATCACAGAGCGTGCCCTATTGCCAGTCAGCTCCGCGCAATGCTGAGCTCAATGGGCTCTTCCAGTGTCAGTTTCAGGGTGATAAGCTAACGACCTTTGTCGGTGGTATTGCCGTTGGTGGTAGCGGGACTATCCCTTTCGGTATGAGCGCACCCGTCAATCCGGCTGGTTCTTGCCCCGCAAACCCCACCGGTCCCATCGCTGATGGCACACAACTCGTGGATCTCACCCAGAATCCCGGTGTCGGTAGCACAACTGCCTCCAATAAGACCACTGGTGGAAGCAATAGCACTTCAACAGTGGCCACTTCTTCCGCCATACCTTCGTCTGGTTCTTCTTCGGATTCTGACTGCGGGGAGGATCCAACCGAATCCACACCTACTGCTTCGCCCACCATGGCAGCTTCTATCGCCGCCGTCGCATCCGCAACGCCCTCAAGCACTAGTGGAAACTTCAAGCTCGCTAACGGTCAGGACGCTCAGAAGCTCAATGCGCAGTTTGCTACGCTAACTGCTACCTCTCTCTGCACTGGTGAGTCAGCCTTACTCAAGCAGCATGTCATCATCTAACATTCTATGCAGAGGGTACTAATGCATGCATCGATAGCGCTTTTGCGCAGTGCGTAGGGGGCACGTATGTGACTCAATCTTGTGGGTCCGGTCTCATTTGCGCTGCCCTTCCTCTTGTCAACTCTGCTGGAACGTCGATCACCTGCACCACAAATGCTGATGCTTTAGCTCGCATTGCTGCCACTGGCGCGCAGGGCGGCCTCACTGGATGAGGTTCATTAATACTTTTTTTTTCGTTGTGTTTTGAAATAATATAGTATACAAACTGTTACTATGTAGTGTCATACTGCTTACAATATCTGTATCAGTATTGGTGGTGCTAGTCGCTGCATGAGATTTGTTGCCCACTGAAGTGTATGATCAATGTACATTAGTCCCCCTAGCCAGACCATATGGATTTAAGAACAGTTGTTCCTTCTTTATTATGGATCAATGACTCGCAAATATGGTTAGATGGAAAGTGGATCATTCTACTGATGGATATTGCTCGGGGATTGCCTCACGGCGAAACAGTCCTCGGACCAATACCCATGAGCAGCACAAGATTCGGACATCCAAGGTTAGAGTACGTCTCGAACATCTCAGGCTTCATAAGATTGATGATATGACTGAATGACGAAAATAGGGCTGTGGATAAAATTTGATGAGATCTATGGTTGCAAAATGGTCGAACTTTACAGACCTGAGACCGCCTATCCGATAGGATTATACTCAGTGACAGGACCGGTGGCGACTAGCCGATCACCAATCGACTCGGACCTTGAACGTCTGAACGATGATTTGAATGAAGGAGTTATGCACTGCGGAATCCATCCCTTGATCTGCCACTGGCGCTAACAGTGGTTTATCAGCTACCTTTTGCTATCGATACACAGACACTCACAAGAGGTGGTCATCCTATCTCTCCAAATAGGCCATTCCATGCACCTGTAGGCTGCAGCGTTGATCGTCTTGGCATGTTACCAGATCGCCTAGTAGAGGTAAGTACTACTCAGGTAGTGCGTGGACCCAGCGTGGTGGTGCTGACATAAACTGATTTTGCATACACGTGACTAGGCGCGTCGCGATCGAGTTTGTTTACTTATTTCGTGGCAGTGCTGATTTAACTGGTATAGCAGAGTATAAATACAGCGTGCCCGCGAGATACGTCTCTCATTTCCCGTCCTCAATTTACGTGCATTACTTTTCTCACTACATATTCTCAACTTCAATTCGCCTTACAATATGATTTCCGCTATCTTCGACGGTGCTGCCCATGTCACCGTCGCTGGGTGCCTCGGAGCATTCTTTTTCAAACACACTGTGGTGGATCGGACATCCAAGGCCATCAAAGACGCGGAGAACATCACCGCTGGCCTGGTGATATCCGAATTCTGTATCTCTGTCGCGGTTCTAGTTCTAGCTTCCAACGAGACCGCCCGGATACTCCTCAGTAAAGATGCTCAACCCGCTCCGAAGCACAATTTAGCCGAGCTCAACGCGCCTCTCATTTGCAACAAAGTGTCCGATTTCTCTACTGCAGCAGACTCAATTTCATCGAATCCAATCGCAACCGAACCTTGCAGCACTCCGCTTGACGCAATAATTTCACCGAATTCAATCGCAAATGACTCTTACCGCACTCCGCCCTCTACTACATGTTCCGCAATATGCACGCCAATACTGCCAACTTCGTCCGGTCCAGAATACCAAGCGCCTCTCAATCGATTCCGACACCACACTTGTCGACCACGATGACAACTTCGTGAAGAATTTCTTTGACGCCGACCTTCAGGAAAGCACTATCCCCCAGGTATGAAGTCGCACAGTTTACTTGTCTTTATCGCTCAATGTTTGAATTTTTATAGGACGATAGCGACTGTTCCAGTAGCGACCTGCTCCCAGGCACGAAAGCACTAACGATCGATGACCCAAGTAGGACCCTCTCAACGGACGCAGGTCCCTCCAATCTTGGAGGACGGACACCTGACGAGCACCGATGTTTCGCTTCTCGTGGACGCTTCGACTCGAACAATCGTGACGCCCTCCCTTGGCAGCATCCTGCCTCAGATTGTCTTGCCTCGACTGAAACCCCCGGATACGAAGCGGCATCCGAATTTCCGCCCGGGTAGACACAAGGTATGGAAATGTTCCTTGCGAAGCCAAGTGCTGCACTCACCGTCGTTTGTTAGCGCGAATCTAGATCGTCTCGCTTGGCCGCTTCCCGTGGCAGCATCGAACGCACTTACGCCAAGCAACAAGAACACGCTACTGCGATCAGTGAGTGATTTCCGGTGACGTTCGCTTCGTTTGTTGATTTAAAATAGATGATCTTGAACAATTGCATGACGATCTCCTCGACGACCAAACCGCTCTTGTCGACGGCTGGGCAGCTGCCATGTCCCAGCTTGGACTCCCCTCTATGCTATCGCCTTCGCCACTGCTTCTGGATCAGAAGATGCCCGAGCCAGGAAATTCGATCGAAATTGTTCAAGACCGACACCTTTACACACAATGCTACTCCCGAGGTCCCCTACGACCAAATCCCGAAGATCTGCAACGGCCTCCCTCGCTGTCCCCTACGACCTGGAGCTTCATGCCCGCGAGGTTGAAGGCCACCGCTGGTCGCGCACAAACTATGTCTTCGCGCCGCCCAATTATACCTGCAGTCTTCGACGTCGGATGTCCCCTACGACCAATCCCGACACAATCGCAACCGCAACGGCATAACCGCCTCCACCTTGTCTCAGAGCACTTGGAGTTGAAGGCCACCGCCCGCGGCTCGCACTTACATCTATCTCAAGTATCTTCTCTTGTCTTCGCCATCGTGTAAATGGCTCTTGATTTGTTTCTTTTTATTTGTATTTCTCTTACCGGTATCTACTTCGCAGATCATGGACTGCCTGTGACTTATGGACACGTCTTCCTTTTATCGATATGTACTCAGCAGATGTTGAACTGCTCATTTCTTTTGTAACTTGTAGGCACGATATGCCTTGTTTCTTTTACCATTTTTCCATGTACGATTTATCTCTTAATAATGTTTCTATATTTTCGTATATGTACGATGACGAGTATTACATAGATATCTGCAGTTCGTAGTTTCTGAATTTCATTTTCTTTACATGACGCGTTCTCCGCCAGACGTGCCTGAGGTCGATCGAGTGAAAAGTGATTGATTTCCACAGATCAATAACACAAGCAAAATCTGGCAAAGAGATTAATTCAATCTTGTAAGGTAGACCGTCTAGATGCATGAACGAAGTCAAGATCATAGCTTCCTAGTGGAAATGATTGTGTGCATGGTCGGGATATAGGCAGGCATGCAAAACTCAGAGCCACCTCAGGCGCAACGCATCGATGCAGAAGGCAGGATGATATCGTGTTTTATGTACCTATGGATGATAGTGATGAGGCGTCGGTGCTTTGCAATCCCAGTAACAGATAGAGTAGCTGCTTTGAGAAGCGATTGACTGCGTTTGGAGATGTCGATGGTGACCCACAGTCGTTCGTTGTTTAATGCGCGCCTGATACGTGGTACCTTTGTGAATACGACTGGTCAATGCTCATACATCCATTGAATAAATTCTGTCATCTGGGTTCAGTGACACACAAGATGAACACTGGATCTGCAACTGAACCATGACCGCACGCACAGCACACAACGTAGTGGAAACAAACGATGATCGATGCAGGGATGATGAAATGAAGAGTGGAAGTTCTGCTCGTGGGATCAGTGGGCCAGGTTTGTTCGTCCTCGGAGTCGGTTCATAATACTTCATATCCACAGCGGTTCATTTATAGCACAGATATATCTGATCGAGGCGTGCTTTTGTTTCGAAAACTGGTCTAGTCTTCTTGAGGTTTGATATGACTGATAACTGCATGGATCGTGGTCATCGATATCGTCACGTTGAACAATGACAACAATAAGAAAGGTTAATGGGGACAGAGGCTCGTGGGGTGCGCATCATACATTGCGGTCATCGATATCATAGTACGGATAAGAGCAATGCCGCATGATGCGTTCCAATCAGCTTTTTTATGGTAGCTTCGCTTCGGATAATTGACTAGACATGATGATCCGTGGCAAATTTTTCTGAACTCCGCCAAGTTTTTAGATTAGGGAACATTGGGATCAGACACTCATCTATCCCCTCACCCTCTTCCTCATCCTCATTCACGACTTTTAAAGATGGATGTACGTGCAGATAAATACCTGAATGCCTACTGTCGAGTCCGATCTGATCACTTTTTGTTCTATCGCCCGTTTTAAACAGCCGAATTTCGTGCAGGGGCTGCACAATCTATTACTGCAGTCCACTTCAAACGATACCAACCAGCTTAAAGCTGTGAGATCGATCCATCAGACGCGTTATTAAATGTGTTTCCTGACTTCTTGTGTGTATCAGGCAACAGCTCAGCTTAACACAGAATACTACAAAAATCCCGCATGCATATCTGCACTCGCACAAATACTCGCCAGTTCACCGGAAATCGCGGTGAGCATACATCATATCGGTGTCTTTTTGGTTATTCCTCATTGTTATTGGCTATGTGCACGTGAATCTGTTAGGTTCGCCAACTGGCTGCAGTCGAGATGCGAAAGCGTGTTTCTCAAAAGAGTGGCGATCTATGGATGCAGCTCCCTCAAGATGTTCGTTCGCAGATCAAAGACCAGCTTCCTATATTGATACTTGCTGAACAAGAGTTAGTCTCTTTCTTCTCTTTCAAAAGTTCGCTCCTCATTTCTTTGGATGCTCCAGCAAGCTCGTCCGACACTCTGCTGCACGTGTCATTGCTGCTGCTGCTAGCATTGAACTCACAGCTGGAACATGGCCACAACTCCTTCCGTGGTTACACCAGTCATGTACATCGACGCAAGTCGCGCATCGTGAAGTCGCCATCTTCATTTTGTTCACCGTTCTCGAGAGCATCGTGGAAGGATTCCAGGAGCATTTGCAAAGCTTTTTCAAACTCTTTGAAGGTCTCCTCAATGATCCTGAGAGTATCGAAGTTCGTATTACGACTGTTCGGTGCGCCTGGCTCTTCAACTAATCGTAGGTGGTAAACTAACCTTGCCTCAAGGGCTTTGGGCGTCATTGCCCAGTATATTGACTCTGACGATAAGGCTGACATCGTACGTGCAAATTATTTTTCTTTCTCTAATCAATTTTTCTTACTGTATGCTCCAGAAATCCTTCCAAGCACTTCTCCCTGGTATGATCCGAATTCTCGGGCAATCCATCGAATCTGGGGATGAGGCTGGTGCTCGTCAACTATTTGATGTATTCGAGACTCTTCTCATCCTTGTGCGTTTTCATTTCAGTTTTTCTTGACTTGGACTTATCTGCGAGACGCCCTGCAGGAAGTACCAATTCTGGGCCCTCACATTGCGGAGCTAGCATCGTTCCTCCTTCAAGCTGGTGGAAACCGCAATCTCGACTCTGAAATCCGTATTTTGGCCCTCAACGCCCTTAACTGGACTGTTCAATAGTGAGATCATGTTTGAGTCCATTACATGAATGAATTCATGTCGTCTTTCTAGCAAAAAATCCAGAATTCAAAGTCAGGCCCTCGCTGGAGCCATTTTGGAGGGCCTCATGCCTATTACCACCGAACCTGAACCCACAGATTCGGACGACGACGCTCCTTGCCGTGTACGTAACTTTGACTACTAGCCGAAAATGACTAGATCTGATAATCGTTATTCCAGTCTGCTCTTCGTATTATCGACGGCCTCGCCACGAACCTTCCCCCCACCCAAGTCTTCCCTGCCCTCCGAACACTTATCTCTCAGTACTTCTCCTCTCCTGACGCGAACAATCGTCGTGGTGCAATGCTTGCGCTCGGCGTCGCCGTGGAGGGCTGCAGTGAGTTCATGACACCTTTGATGAGCCACATTTGGCCTGTTATTGAGGCTGGTCTCCATGACGGTGACAAGTCGGTCAGGAAGGCGACATGTGTCGCTGTCAGCTGTTTGTGCGAGTGGCTGGAGGAAGAGTGTATTGCGAAGCATGCTGTTCTTGTTCCTGTGAGCACGGAAGTGTTTGTTGCGACTTGATACCCATGCTAAGATGTATGCACGCTTTTTAGGTGATCATGAGCTTGGTGCACGATCCTGAGACTCAGCGTGCGGCTTGCACTGCTCTTGATGCACTGCTTGAGATCTCGCAGGATGTCATTGAACAATACCTTCAGCTTATCATGGAGCAACTTGCTGGCCTGCTCGACACTGCACCTATCACTGTCAAGACTGTTGTCACTGGAGCACTCGGTAGTGCGGCACACGCATCAAAAGAGAAGTTCCTTCCTTACTTCCAGCCGACCATGAACAGATTACAGCATTTCCTTGTCCTCACTGGTGAAGGCGAGGAGACTGAGCTCCGTGGCATTGCCATGGATGCTGTTGGAACATTCGCAGAGGCTGTCGGCGTTGATGTCTTCCGTCCATACTTCGCGGATATGATGAAACAGGCATTCCAGGGTATTGAGATGGGCAGCGCACGTCTTCGGGAGTGCAGTTTCCTGTTCTTTGGCGTGATGGCTAGGGTATTTGGCGAGGAATTTGCGCCGTACCTACCCAGTGTTGTACCTCCGTTGTTGCAGAGCTGCAAGCAAGCTGAACATGGCGAGGATAACGTTGCTACATGTATGCCTATCCGTCCTTTTTGGACGAGTAGTTTTCTGATGGATTTTTTTTTAGTTTCTAACACTGACGCTGCCGTTGCATTCGCATCTGGGTCCTCTCCTACAAACGCGATCTCCATCACGGATGACATCGATGTCAATGGGAACTCCCAACTTGAGATCGAAGACGTTGACCTCGACAAGATGCTCGAAGTCAATAGCGCGATTGCAGTCGAAAAGGAAATTGCTGCAGACACGATTGGAACGCTCTTTGCTGCAACGCGCAACCACTTCTTCCCCTTTGTCGAGCCTTGTGCTCTCGAGCTCGTCAACTTGCTCACGCATTATTACGAGGGTATTCGCAAGTCCGCAACGGACTCTTTGTTGGAGATAGTCAGGACATTCTACGAACTGAGCGGTGCGCCAGACTGGACCCCTGGTGCGGCAGTGGTGAGTTGCACTTATTATGTCTGAGCATGATGCCAACACAGCGTCCAGACTGTCCCTCTGGAACAGAGCGTGAAAGAGCTCATCGGGCACAGCTTGAAGCCCTTACTTGAGATGTATGAAACTGAGGATCACAAGTCAGTCGATTCATGTTCAGTCGTGTACTCTTACTGATCAAACTATTACAGGACCGTTGTGGCATCGTTATGTCTTGGTCTTGCCGAGACAATCAATAAGATTGGACCGGCATTTATTGAAGGCCGTGAGTCGAATCATCAGCACTTTTTTGTTGATGCTGACATTTGGTGGAGATCTCGATGTCATCTGCAGCATCGCGGTACAGGTCCTTGAGCAAAAGGCACTTTGCCAACAGGATCCTGATCAGGATGAAACCGAGGAGGCACCCGAAGATCAAGCCGAATACGATTCAGTGCTCATCTCCTCTGCAGGCGACTTGGTATCTTCGCTTGCGAATGCATTAGGCAATGACTTCGCGCAGGCATTCAATACCTTCTTCCCTCTTATCTCGAAATACTACGTCAGTTCGAGTTCTTTCTAGCACCTGTGCAGGTACTGACTGTACTTCGTTTGTAGAAGAAGAACCGGTCGATGAGCGACCGCTCATCTGCTATCGGTTGTCTCGCAGAGATCATTGCTGGCATGAAAGCCTCTGTCACGCCCTCGACAGAACCTCTGATGGATCTGTTCTACCGCGCGCTCAGCGACCCGGACCCGGAGGTCCAGAGCAATGCATGCTTTGCCATCGGTCTTCTCGTTGAACACTCTGAAATCGACCTTTCGCCGCAATATATGCATGTCCTCAGTGCCCTCCGCCTCCTGTTCAACGTCTCGCCCACTGACCCTTCAGCGAAAGTCAATGCAAAGGACAATGCTGCTGGTGCCGTTGCCCGTCTCATCATTCGCAACACCGCTGCCGTCCCTCTGGATCAGGTTCTTCCTGTGCTGATTGGCAGTCTCCCGCTCAAGAACGACTACCTTGAGAACCGCCCAGTCTTCCGCGCTATCTTCC